CTGGGGGGCCCGGCAGCAGGATGCGGGTGTGCAGCTCCTGGAGCTCCCCATGCAGCTGCTCCAGGCGGCGGTTGGAGGTCCGGAGGAGCTGCTGCACGTGCCCCAGGTGGCGGCGGTCGGTGGCCGCCCGCCGCAGGTTCTCCACACCCTCCTTGATTTTTAGCTCCTTCTGGATGGCCCGGCGGATCGCCTCTTTCTCGTCCTCTGGGGGCCGCTGGCCCGGCCCAGGCTGTGGGATGGCAGAGGAGCAGGCCATTCAGTGCCCGCCGCCGCCGGCCTCAGCTCAGCACACACAGCGGGGGAGGGAGGCACGGATGGCACCCGGGACCCACACACTGGGTGTGGGCAGCATCTCTGACTGCAGAGGAGCAGCCCTGAGCCGGGTGGAAACCCCACGGCTATCTGTCCAGCCCACGCTCCTGTCCTCTGCACTTGTGAGGAGGGTGAGGGGAAAACTGTTCCCGTGTGCGGGGTGCTTCGGGGGCCAGGGTCTGTGAGGGCTGGGCGTACGTTCATTTGTCAGTCCTGACAACAACCCCGTGAGGTGGGTGCAGTTGTGTCCCCGTCGTGTCGGTGAGAAAACGAAGGCACAGAGAGAGGGTGGGTAACCTGCCACGGTCACACCACAGAGGGGACACCACCACCCCTCGGCCCCGGCCCCTCTCTGCCAGCCTCGCTTCCCAGGCTGCTGCTCTAAAGCTGGGGTTCAGGCTAAGATCTGGGCCAGAAAAGAGGCGAGGGATTTACTCAAGGTTAGAGGGCAGCTGGAGGCCTGAGTGGGGCCGGGACTGTTCCCTTGAGGCCTCAGGTGGCAAAGCAGAGGCACACAGCAGGGCTAGGGAGGCCTCTGGGGACCCTCTCCTGGGCGGAGCTCCCGGGAGGAAGCAGAAGGCTTTCTTACAACTTCACCCCAGGCTGGAGCGAGGAAGAGGCAAACCTTCCCAGAGCCCATTTCAAACCAGCCGTGCCAAAGCCGACCTCAGCCCAGGGTCACCCATGACCCCTCCCAGGGGCTCCTGCAGGGCCTCCACCTTACCTCTCCGCTCGCCATCTCCCGAGCCCAGTGGAAGGGTGGCCACCCCAGCCTCAGGGACCCCACCCCCAGCCCAGGCCTGGGGCCCGGCGGGCCAGGCGGCCGAGGGCAGGGGTGGGGCTCAGGAAATCCTTTGCCGGCTCTAGGCTCTAGACTGGAGGCGCAGGCCAGAGCCAAGGGCTGGAGCAAACAAAGCTCCCATGGAGCTGGGGGCCCGGCCACCGGGGTCCTGAGTCACCCAGCTCCACTGCTGGGCGGAGGTTCACAGGAAATAGGAAAATGTGTACAAGTCGCTGCTGGAACAGGCGGAGGGAGCTCCGCAGGAAGGAGGTTGTGGGGGGGCGGGGGAGACGCAGCCCTGAGGTTGCCACAGCATGGGGTGGAGGCCACCCCGCTCTTGAGCGTGGCCCAGACTCCTGTCTGCTCGGGGCTGGACGCCTGCCCTGTGCACACACACCTCCCCGTTGGCTCTTCACGGGAACATCACCTCACCCTCCCCAAAGCAGATATGCACGCAGCCTTGGCTCCGGTGCCCACGGCACCTAGTGCCGCTATGGCTGTGGCTGTGGCAGGAACCCGGCCCCTCCCCCTTAGGGCTGGACCCCTATGTACTCGAAGGTTCCCGCCCAGGCACAGGGCTGGGCCCCTCTTGTGCTCTGGGAGGGTCCCCCCACCCCAAGTGCGCCGGGACTATCCCCTCCCGGGCCCAGAGCGCACGAATTCTCCCCCCGCAGGGCCGCTCCCTGGGGAGCCGGCACAGACCTCCCTTTACTTTCCTGGAAGAACCGATTTAGGACACTGGGGCCCACCCTCGTGGCTCTGACCGAGGGTTCAGACGTGCTCCTAGGCTGGCCTGGCGGGGGGTTCCGAGTCCATGGGGGTGATTTGGGGACGCTCCCAGGGGGCACGAACGCCTTACCCCCGTGCGCAGTTATGCCCTGCGAAGGGGACGGGGCGGGAGGGCCCGGGGCAGGGGCAGCA